ACCCAACCGTGGGGACCAGAGGCAGGTCAAAGCCCTTTCAAGCTATCTGGATTGAAAGTTTAGGTTACTGATGGAACTTAGGTACTAGTGATAGTCTGTAAAGTGTGTGCTGAGGTTTGTGTGAACTTTGCAAGGGCAAGGAGTAGGTAACAGTAGCGGAGAAATACCACAAGTACTTGGTTTCGGCCTAGGCATAAGTTACTGAAAATCTAGGTGATACATGTTTGTAGGACATTGACTGCTCTAGTAGGTTTACCACAAGGATAAATTAGTCCTAAGGGACCTTAGCGGCAGTTCTTCTTTGGAGAGAATATCTGATAGCACTAAGTTGATCAGAGGCTTTAATTGGGTAACTCAAGTAATAGTAGGCTATAGGTACGGCATCTAGTATAGTACTTAGTAATAGGAAGAGACCCTTAACCTGAACTCCTGATCTAGGTTATTAACTTGGACTCCTCAATATATTAAATTTGATTGGTCAAATAATTTGACCTTGCTATATCTACATATAATAACATGGTAAAATAGCTAGTTAACTATAAAATATCGAGTCGAATAGCTTATTTATTAAAATAACTCAATTAATAAATAGATAAAAATAGTAAAATTCTATTTGCTCATTTTATTATATTAATTAAAAAAAGGTGTTATAATGAATTAAATTAAACAATTTATATAGATGAAATTGTAAGAAAAGAAGCTAAGCTATAAATTTAAATAGCTCATTTAAATAATTTGATTAATATTAAATATTAATAAAGGTTGTTATACATACAAGCAAATTAATGTTAGCTTAATTAATTGATCTTAAAATAATTATAAATATGATAAAATTTAAAAAATTTACTGTTAAATAGCATGATTCGAATGCTATCAAGCTTTATTTGAACTGCCATTTAACATGATTACATATTTTTACAGACACACATATCTGTAAAGTATTGAATAGCAGTTCAGATGGCAGTATGGTTGGTATTCGAAATATGCTATTCAATATGAAAATTAGTTATAAGTAATTTAAATAAATCAAATTCAATTAACTTAATACAGATTAAATAGAATATAATAAATGCTATAAGTTTAATTTAATTATTTTAAATAAATAAATTAATAAATAATTATTATATAGTTTAATAAAGTAATATGAATAAAACTAATTAAAAGCTTATTTTTAATAAATAATTTAGTAAGGGTGTGGTGACTTAGAGTAGTGGTTAAGTTGTTACCTCCAAGCAGCAGGTCTAGAGTTCGAATCCCACCAAAGATGTTTTTAGAAAAATAGACCTGTGTTCCAATAACAATTATTCAATGATCGGTTGAGTATATTACCTATAAACTTGGTACTACCATCTTGAAATAGAAGCTCTTGGGTGATCCAAGTTCAAGAAACTGGAATAATTGAAACTTGTTTGGCAAGACCCGAGTAAGAAGATAGTAAAGATCTTTGATAATACTGCAGAAAAGTCGGAAACCGGAGACTGAAGAACCAGATAAAAATCCTGAGGCAAGAAGAGTTCACCAACCTGGCTGCCGGAGTCGTACTGGAAGAAAAGGTCCTATGCTATGGAATTAGGAACCAAGAGAAGTAAAACCAGAAAGCACTTAAAGCCTAGGTATAACGACCTGTCTGGGCTAACTGATTTGGTAGTTGGGAGGGATCAGTATAAGGACTGGCTTAATGTGGATATCGGGATTGGAATGAACCTTGCAAGAGCACCAGATACTGGAATTATACAGTTTAATAGTTTGCCCTGACTGCTAGTAGTGGTTTCAGCTGCTGCAGAAGGTATTTGTAGCCTAATCTGGAAGTGTGTAAGTCATAGAAAGATTAGAGGGGTATGTACTACACCCTCCCTAGGGCAACCCAGTAGTATGAAAACCCTACTAGGTTATCTATAGAATTAGGGTATAAGTAGTATAGCAAATGTCGATCTGGGTAGTCTTCAATAAGAAGCAGCATGAGGTTATGGATTGGTATAATTGTAGTAGTGGTGCAAGACCGGGGACGTCAGAGGGTTCAAATAGGTAATCTCCTAGTTAGGTTACAGGTATAGCATATAGTGTAGAATCTTCAGGCGGACTACTTAAATTAGATGACCAAAAGTTGCACATGTAGCTATATGTCCGCGACATTGTGAAGGTATAAAAAAAAAATATAAAAAGAAAAAATAAATAATTTAGTAAAAAAAAACTTTAACTTAATTGGTAATCCACCAGTCAACCAGAAAGTGATCATAGTAAAATGTAACTCAAATTACTTATAAAAATTGGAGTTTTTCGAATGTGGCATGCACACATCTAAAACTTTTTTTTAATACTAAGTTAACTACCTTTGAGCTTCTAATTGAAGTTGTAGAGCTCATTGAGAGGAATCTAATAGTGGTTGAATCATCAAAATCAGCCTTGTGGATCACAAAATATCTTCAAAAAATGTTTTACCGAATATGTAAAATTCTTCTTTAACAATAGTATTGTTAAAGAAGAATTTTACATAGTTGACGAAACGTTTTTCGAAGATATCTTGTGATTCACAAGGCCGATTTTGATGAGTCAACTACTATTAGATTCCTCTCAATGAGCTCTACAACTTTAATTAGAAGCCCAAAGGTAGTTAACTTAGTATAAAAAAAGTTTTAGATGTGTATACACCACATTTAGAAAACCCCAATTTTTATAAGTAATTTGAGTCACATTTTACTATGATTACTCTCTGGTTGACTGGTGGATTACCAATTAAATTAATTTATAAGTAATTATTATAATTATCAATTAACTTAATATAAATAAAATAAAATACAGTGATGCTATAAAATTAAATCGATTATTCTAAATAAATTAATTATTAAACAATTCCAATACTATTAGATATAAATGAAATTGATTTTGAGCTTTATTTATATTCTGCAATAACTTTTGACAAAGTAGACATTATCACAAGGTCATCATTTCAATAACAGTCCTCTTTATCTTTTGCATAAATATAGTAATATCCATATTTAGAATATATAACAATTGCAGACAAATTATTTTTAACATTATCTACAAGTAAATTTTTAATATTATTATATATCTACAATTTAATTTTCCAAATCCGCATGCACATAATACCAAAAGCACTACTATCTTCCATAATTTTTTTTGCATCTTCAAGTGTAATATTGCCTCTGTTTTGAGAAATAAGACACAATGCAGTTTCTGAAACTAAAACTTTCAATATATAATAATCTACTGGACTTTTAGGATAAACTAAATTATTCGTTAAACAATTTGTATATAAAAAAGATCTGATAGAATACTGCTAATAATATCTAATTCTTGCAAACCATAATATCCTGGCTATAAGTAAATTTAAAATTAAATAGTAAATAATCTATGAATATAATGCATAACAATAATAAATATATTAAATTTATCATACCTTAAATGTTTCGTATTGGCCCATTATTGCTATAGGATTGCTTGCTTTTCTTTGACCAATTTTATTACTAACTTTTAAAGCAAAATCATGATAATAGCTTTCTGTTTTTCTATTAATAATATTTAGCAGTTTATCTTTCATTTGAATAATACAAGGTTTTAATAATATAAAATCAATTTTCATTGGATATCCTTTTTAAATACCATCAGGTACTACAGTATTTTGCATTATTGGTTTTTGTAATATACAAGTATTAACTTGTTCTTGAAATGTTTTGTTTAATGAATCATAAAAAATTTTTGCAGTTTCAGGTTTTGTTTTTATAATTTGACAAACTTTTTGATATGTTTAATTTAAAAGATATTCATAATCATTGTTATCATATTCTATAGCTTCATGTGTAGTTGTAGTTGACTGAATTAAATTAGATGACATATTATAAAATGTTTTATATAATATTGTAAGATTATAATTACTAGGATCTTTACGCCATCTTGGAAGAAATAAATAATCAGGAAGTTCTTCTAGATTTAGTTGTGAAGCAACTTTAAATATTGTCAGCAAATAATATCAAAAAATATTGTATAGCTACAAGAACAAGTAAATTGTTGATTTATAAAGTTGTATGTAGTTATACAACCAGATGATTGACATTGAAAACAGTTTACACAAAATGTGATTTTATTCTCTAAACTAAAATTAAAAAATTTAAATTAGTAAAAAATAAAATTTTTAATTACTATTTTAAATTTTTTTACCTATTAGTCTCTTCACATTTATACACCATAGATTCAAACAATTGAGTTTTTGTTTTTTTAATAAATAACTTGTTAAAAATTTACTGGCCTGTTTTTCAAATAAGCTTTCAGTAATTATATTGCTATTAAAATAATTTTCCCGATATTTCATCAATTTATTATTTTCTTTACTATATTCAAGTGCATTTTCAAAGGCTTTTAAAAATATTGTTAATGATGGTGTTGCATCCATATATCCTTTCATCAAATTATTCATTGATTCACCTCTTTTTGTTGTTGTTATATCTGCTATAAAAAAATTTTAATTAAAACAAGGTGCCCATTGCTCTAAATTTTTGTCCATTTTATGAAGATAATTAATTGATTCAGAAAAATCAATTTTTAATTTTTCCCATTGTATTTTAAAATTATTTTCATCGTATTCATTTATAGAATTGTCTAATAAATGTTGCCCATTTAGATTTTAATATTCCTTGAAGATTTTTAATTATATTTTTAAAAAGATGCCATAAATATAAAGCATGTTTTGTTCCAAATGGTTGAAAAACTTGATTTATAGCTTTAATTATTGCCTAATCTTCATCAGTAAGGAATACTTTTGGTGTATTATTATTTACTATTTTTAAAAAAGTATTAAATGTCCAAATAAAACTATCAGCACTTTCATTATTAATAAGAGTGCCTGCAAAACATATACTTTGTCCATAATTATTAACTTCAGTAAAGATTCCAAAAGGCATATTAAATCGATTTGTTTTATAAGTATTATCAAAAACTACAACATCATTAAATCAGCAATAATTCATTCGTTGTTCAAAAAACATTCAGATTACTTGTTGTAATTCATTTGTTTTAGGATCAACTTTAATTTTATATTGAAAATTTTCATCTTCAGATTTTAATTCTTCTAAAATTTTTGTAAAATTATTTGCATCTAAATATTATTTTTCATTTGATCCTTCATTTTGATAAATAAAGTTATATAAATCATTATAAACCTATGTAACTATACTAATAAATTCTTCTCTTAAAATTGCATGAATTGTAGTAATATTGCATCCTGCACGATGAAGAAGTATAATTTTTTCTTGAACTTCTAATGGAATTTCTCTTTCATTAGGTATAAAATGTTGATGGTTTTCTAATATTATTGTATGACTGTGTTTTAATTCTGAAACTATAATATACTAAAGATTGTTTTGAGAATTAAGTAATGCATGAACTAAAAATTGGCAATTACATCGTTGTAATAATCGGTTTCTAATATTAGCACCAGTAGATGTTTTTTTAGGATCACCTTCACAACTACATACTACTGTGCTTTTACGAATATTTCTAGCTATATTTTTTTCTACTTTGCCTAAACATCTTTGAAAACAACATTTTTTTGCATAACTTCTAACAGCATCAACAAAATCATCATGAGTGTTATACAAATTTTCTTCTTTAATTTCAATATTATTGTTATCATTATTAATAGCCATAAAGTATTTTTGTATAACCAAAACATCTATATATGTATATAATATATATTTATTTATATTTTTATGTCATGTAACATTATAATTAGGGGTCAAATAAATATGGGGTCTAGGATAAAATCCTGAACCCCTAGGTCTAGTTTAAAATTCTCCCTTCCCCAGTATCACCACCAAAAAAGTACAGATACGTGATCGCGCCAAAAAATCTTTAAGTTCGTTTAAGGTTGGGTTAGGGTCTATGTTAAGTTTATAATTTTAGTATTATAATAGTAAAATCGTTCAAGAAAATTTTTTTGTTAATGCACAAAAGGTGGTTTACTATGCAGATTTTTGAGTTATAAGCGATTTTTGACAAAACGAACGTTTGTTTTGAATTTTCCTGATCGTGTTATATTATACCTGATCTTGAAATCTGATTGGTTTGTGCCACAAAAAAATCACGTGTCCGTACTTTTTTGATGGCGATACTGGGGTAGTTCCATTTTAGACGTCCCCCAGATTAGGTGAACTTTTAAGCACACACAAGATGGCATTAGCTAATCAACATTTCTTGTAGGTCTCCTTCATCAGATCTACCAATAGTGTCCTATTAATTCAGGAAAGCTTGCGCTACCAAAATACGCAGATTCAGTTTCGATGATGAATGATTATAAGACGTTATTTATATCTTGTACGTACATGTGAGTGATCATCGTGAATCTTAACAATGCATATTACGAGGTTACTTATTATGTCTTTAACGATTCTTAAATGATCAAGGGGTTTTCTTTATGATTTTATGATTATGAAAGTGTCAAACACGGACATGGGCATGTATTTTAATAGTACCTTGCCAATACTTGCAGAATCCTAGCTTTTTTATACTTTTAAAGTGTATTAATTTACAAAAAATTTTTTTTTGTTAATTCAATTTGCGGGAATTATATACAAGCTTATACCTTTTTACTGATAGTCTAACTATGCAGAGAAAGGATCCTTCTTCTGTTTTGACACATTGCTCGACGTGACAAATACAATTACTACACAAATTCTACCTATTGCATATACACTATAGTCATTATATTCAACCTTACTGAGCAGTTTATCCTAACCTGTACTTTATTTACACCATACATGACAAATCGATAAATTCTATAAATAAAACTTAAAGTTCGAACTTTCATTATGTTAGGGAGCCTAAATTATAATAAAGGTATTAAAATTTTAATTATTTTTATCTGAGGGTGATGGAAAGAAAAACTCTATAAATTGATTTATTAACTTTCACCTTATCGGATTTGACCCCCGAAAATTCTGATTCTACGTTTTTAGTTCTATAATTCTAAAATACATTTATTATCTTTTTTATTTTTAAGGGTAGGGTGTACGTAGATCATTTTTCATATGATCTGCATGGTAGATTGGATTTTTACATAGTAAAGA